AAAAGTCTTATATATACACATAATAATTTATAAATAATTGTTATTATTGTTGTTTGGTAATGCATTATGCAGTATATGATTATAGTTCATATCTTCATACCAAGAGTAATAGTTGTTTTAATTAGTATTCGGATGGAACACTTAGTTGTATTAATTGTATTTTCTGCTGAATTTTTTAAATAAATAATCTTATAAAAATGAAAATAACTCGATGAACGCCCGATCATTAGAACTCAGCTTATATATCTTAGGTGAAGTAGATATATAGGCAGTCGATTTCCATAAGCTTCCCATAAAGCGAATTTTTCACCAATCTGTTCTTTATAAACAGGAACAAATGGTAATTGCATGGTGCCAGGTCTGAACTATAAGATGGATATATATATAATATATATAATATATATATATATATATATATATATATATATATAAACCTTTCAAACAAGCTCCCGGAGCTTCTGGCAAATCAGTATGCGATGTGTGTGGCCTTGCGTTGTCCTGATGGAACACAATTCTCCTATTTATTGGCCGCTTCTGGGAGATCATAAACACTATTCACAGTTTAAGCCGTCTGGCTTGCGTTTACCATACAAACAGTGTAAAATATAGCATATTTTCAGTTTGATACTGTTTATTTTTGACGCGCGCTAAAACGAAACTAATTCAATCAATTACAAAACTGCAAAAAAGTCCTTTAGTACGAAATCTTGTAATCTTTCTAACGCCGCCTAGTAGAACCCGATCGGACTTATACAACGCGAGATAAAGATAATTATAGCCTATTGAAAAAATAATGGATTTCTCTTTACTTACACACACACACACACACACACACACACACACATATCGGAATTTGATTATTTGATATTGAAACATACTATGTATTAAAAAATTATACATATAAAACTTAGAAAATTGCACGAATGTTTATATTAATATTTGTTTATTCAACGAAAAGTTAGAAAACATGCTTTAAGGAACAATTTCACAAATTATTAATTCGGTGCAAATCCTTTTTACCCTTAGAAATGGACTTCTGCCAAGGAAACCAAAACGCATACAGTGACGCTGCTGAAAATACTGAAGGTGGACAACCAAGGTAAATACTTAGCCATCAAACTCCTAAGTTCTTGTTGCATCGCATCAAACTAATAAATATTTTTTTCTTTATAAAATATATTTTGCAAAGAAAACATTCATATTTCGTTCAAATTGAACGAGGATCGATAAGTTATACATTAATAAATCTTCCAAAATCATTTTCCGAAAAGGAAGTTAAAGAATTTTAGATATATGTCACAGAAAAATCAAAAGAAAACATAAAATCATACCAAAAGTGCATTTTTAATTATAACTAAAATGTTATAATACCAGTCAGAATTAGAAATTGTCAAATTTAAGGTAAAAGATATTGTTAGAAAACATGCTTTAAGGAACAATTTTCACAATCATTAATTCGGTGCAAATCCTTTTTACCCTTAGAAATGGACTTCTGCCAAGGAAACCAAAACGCATACAGTGACGCTGCTGAAAATACTGAAGGTGGACAACAAGGTAAATACTTAGCCATCAAACTCCTAAGTTCTTGTTGCATCGCATCAAACTAATAAATATTTTTTTCTTTATAAAATATATTTTGCAAAGAAAACATTCATATTTCGTTCAAATTGAACGAGGATCGATAAGTTATACATTAATAAATCTTCCAAAATCATTTTCCGAAAAGGAAGTTAAAGAATTTTAGATATATGTCACAGAAAAATCAAAAGAAAACATAAAATCATACCAAAAGTGCATTTTTAATTATAACTAAAATGTTATAATACCAGTCAGAATTAGAAATTGTCAAATTTAAGGTAAAAGATATTGGCTATATATGATGCTTGAGCCAACTCGTGCTAAAGTTAACTCTTAGCTTGGAAAAATATTTTTTTTTTTTTTTTTGTGTTAAAATAACGCATACTGTTTTTTTTCAGGATTTTAAGACCAAGAAATTTAAATGTTCATGCCCAAAATAAGTTTTTAGAAGAGGAACGCAAGTCGAAATAAACATTTGAATATTGTTTGTTTTATTAAGCGGTTTGTATAGAATACATTTCGAGCTATGAAACAAGTGTTAATTAACAAAAAAAATCTCTTTTTTAAATTATTAGATGACAATTTATTCCAATATTTATATAAAAATAGAGAGAAAAATTCTAATATGATATACAAAGCTACTTTATTCTAGAATTAGTCAGTTTGTTTGTTTATTAATATTATGAAGAGTTTATAAGCAGTGTTGATGATTTGGAATCACTGCCAATAATATATTTTAATCTTGAACATAATAATTCTTGCTATATTAATAGATTATTGTAGACCATTTATTGGCAGCAATATAGGCAATAAAATTTTCGAATCAGTGTTTCCCAACCTGTGGCTCGCGAAATACAATAATAAATAAAGAATTGCAGTCCGACGCTATTTATACGTAGTGTAGTATTCATGTGTTATTTATGAATTAAAGTTTATTTTATTAAACTCGGAACAAAATTATATTTTTAAAATATTTGTTGAAAACTCCGATCAGCGGACTAGTTGTTGGTAAACACTGGCCTATAGCAAAGGCAACTAATGAGATATTTATTAACTTGCATGATAGTGATCTGTAACGTTGACATATTAGTAATTATTAATAAATCAATTACATTATATTATCTTAGTTTATAATATTTATATCTAACTATGTCATAGACTTATTTTACTGTAAATAACGCTTTACTCTAAAATGTGCAAAAACTGAGTCCTTAATAGAATCGGTTCGTAAAATAGAAGCATAAAATTTAGAGTAGAAAATATAAGTGTTAGAAATTATTTATTTTGATGATTATCAAAGCTCACAATTACATCAGCAGTTGTGTTTAGCTTCACTTTTACAACTTTTACATTAATCCTCTAAGATTGAAAAAAATCTGTAGTACATTTTCTCTCCTTGGTCTCATGGACCAATTAGTGGCTTAAGCATATTTTATATGAATAAGTATGAATTATCTTATCTGGTCCTAATGGAAAACTACTTGAATAATTAGAAAATGGTGATCTGAAATTTATCCCTGAAGCTCATCATACAGTAACATAAGTCTATGATATTTACATCAATATTTTTCCAAACTATTGCGGCAATATATAATTCAATATATTCATTAGATAAATTACGCCTGGTAATTCCAATGATTTTCTTAGCGTTAATTTATTGCCTTATCTTGCCTTTTTATTAATAGACTAACAGATTTATATAATATATAATATGAGTGTATGAATTTTCATATATAAAATATGTATTTATTTTTTAATTTAATTGAATAAATTATGTTATTAAATTATAATTATGAGAATTATTATTTTGGTGTTTCTTTTAAAATTATGTTAAAAATTAAAAAATCGAATCAGCAATCAATGATTACAAAATATAACTCTTTTATAATTATAAGTATAGCAAATGTTAACACTTGCTGAAATATTTTTTTTTTGGTATTTCATGCGCGGCGTTTGACTTTATAGTTGCGAAATCTATTCTTAAAGAACTATACAAATTGAAATTAAACGTAATACATATTAATAGCAGTTTATAAAAAATAAAAATTTATTTTTATTCTCACATCTATTACTGGAAAACAATGATACAATATTTATAGACAATATTAAAATGATAGAAGAAGAGTATGATTAGAATGTAATATATTCTAATACATTCCTAGACAATATTAGAATAGAATATAATATATTCATATCTAAGGACTTGGGATTTGTCTTGTGTCTAGGCATGGAAGGGCAAATTGACTGAAGCGTTCGTAGTGGTCATTTTGCGCACTACAGGAGGCTATTATAACCGAAATAGTGAACAAATACGCGTGAAATATTACTTTATTTCAAATTTAAATACATTTATTTCAAATAAAAATATAATAAAGTAAAAACAACAGTAGGCAAAGCCAGTGTAAATTCTACAAATTTCCCACAGCCAAATGAAAAATAAATTAAAAGACTAAACTAACCTTATTGTTATAAAAAAATCAATTCAGAGTATTATAAATTATTATAAAATTGTTATGTTTAGCAAAAAGAAAATTTAAAAGTCAATATGTTGTCACATTATCAAAATTTAATCACTAAAAGAAAAAATTGCAAACAGTTTAATTAATACAAGGGTGAAATATTGAGAAATACAAATTTATTATATTAAATTAATTACATATACATTAATTACATATAATTATAGATTAATTTTAATTAAATGATTAAAAGAAAAAGAAAAGTTATTATAGAGCGTTTTTTTCTTTTGCAAACAGTTTAATTAATACAATTCTGAAATAATGAAAAATATATATTTGGTAGTGTTGATTTTAATTGGATGTAAAAAGAAGAGGTGTTGAGTCCTAACTACTTTCCAACAATATTTCCTTCAATTTGCAAGTCTTGGAAAGTTATTATAGTTTTTTTCCCTCGGTCATTGTTTCGGGCTGGATTTTTATTTGATGGGTGATGGACTCAAGTCATGTCTTTGCAATAATATCCAAGTCTTTAGATTGACCAAAAATAATAAAAAAATCAGTAAATTAAATTATTATTTACTTATTCTATTGAGAAAATATTTTTATCATTATTATAAATTTGCTTTTAAGGACTATTCCGAAAGTTTGACATAAGTTTTAAGCAACTCAACTTTATAAATGTTTAAAATGTCAATAACTATTCAACTTTCACTTTTTTGTTGTAATTTATTTATTTTTATTTATAACATTTCTTTAATAACCTTTTTCTTTCACAAACATTCACAAAAACACATGAAAAGCGTACTCTGATAGCCTTCTGTAGTTCATATTTTGTCTGGCGCTGCAGTCGCACACATAGCTACTACTGTGTGTCTACCCTTCATATTTTAAGAACTTGTGTCTATCTTCACGATCTAGTCAGACAAACGTCAACGCCATGAACTGTCATTAACGTCATCGATGGCTGTGCTGCAGCAGCCTCTTCATGTTTTGTTTTTATAATGTATTCAATTTCTGGATAGTGGTTGAAACCTACTGGTCTATCCATACCTTATAAGACTTGTTAATAATTCGTTTGCTAAATATTAATTTTGATAAACATGACAGCGATACGACATGCTTTACAGAAGAATTTGTTCGACCCGACTAACGAAAAACTTTTATCGGTTTGTCATGTCAGTAAACAATCGAAAAAGAAGAAAACATCCTTTCTCTGTATAGTCTCAAGCGTCAAGCCCCCGATTACGATAAGTGTCTGTCAAGTGAAACAAACTGAAAAGAATACATTTAAAAAAAAGTTGTCTTGGCTGCTGAGTGAAGTCAAAATCATAGATGGAAAGAGCTTATTGTTGGTAAATTAGTTGTATTGTATTTTTGTTTTGATCTGAGATTTTTATTTTAAAAAGACTAAATTCTATGGTTTTTCAAGGATATGCAAGAATTCGACTTAACCATTGACAAGCAATATTGTTGGTTGGCATCTAGTTTACAAGAACGTCAGAATTTTCTTATGACATTATGGAAGCAGTGCAATAAACATCTACTAAAAGAAAAACCTGTATTTAAAAATATCCCACAGAAATGGCTCGATGAAGCTTTATTAACTCCAAGTCGTTCAAATGTAGATAATTCTTTTAATGGAGGTAAATATACTTTTTAATCCTTGATTTTCTATCAACCATTATATAAAACAATTTTCCCATAGAACTTACTTTTAAATATTGGCAACTTTGCAAATACAGTAGAGCCTCAATTAACCAGACTAATTGTCGTCGTTAGGCATTCAGATAATCGAATGTATGAAGAATAATGTTGTGTATTTATTAAAAGTAACAAAAACATACATATATATCAACAAAAATAATTTTTATTAAGAAGTTGAAACTTCCTTACGTATGTACATATACATTTTCTTAGATTACATTACATATATATACTAAACTGCAGCATTAATCATGCAAAAATTTTACTTAGGTATGTAGGTATGTACATACATAGAAATTGATCGCGGTTGGTGGTCCATATAATCACGAATCCGTATTACTAAAGTTCTACTGTAGTTCTAAAAAAAATGTTATATATTTATATTTTCTATCCAATTTTAACTATTTTTTGTAAATTTGCCTCAGTAAGAATGTATGAAAATATTTAGTTTAGCAATTAATTTATCTTGTAAGAAGAATCTAAATCATTAAGTTTTTCTCTTATTCAGATTCCAGAAATTGTGATGAAATGGAAGATGATATCATAGAAGCTGATGAATTTCAACCCTTAACGGAAAGAGAAGAAATCGATTTGCAGAAGGTTATCTCAGGATGTGATTTTGCTATCAGCAATGCGGAAGTATTCATGGAGCAACTAGGAAAAGATTTATCAATTTTAGATGGAGTATGTTCAAAGTATTTAAAATCAATTTACATAATCATGCACATATGATTTCAATGAATTTATATTCACCCGTATCTCATTTACATGTGTAGTAAATATAATAATTTTATTTTTTTATTAGGAAAATATTCAAAATATATTAGCATCCGAAACACAAGTTGATGCACTTATGCTGCAAATAGAAAAAGGTATAGAAGAAGCTGAAAAGTTGGAAGTCAGATTGAATGACTATGATGAAATTTTATGTCACATTAGGGATACTATGGAAAAAATGGAAGAGAAAAATACAATGATTGAAATAGCCAATAAAAACAACTTGAAATTAAAAACAGATTTAGAAAATATTGTGGTATGTGTTCTATGGCTTTAAACTTGTCATCATTTATATTTATATTTTATCACTTATATGTTTCTTCATTAAATATAATTTATTGTATTAAGATATATTGTTGCATTCAGTAATTATAAAAACCAAATTAAAAAAGTGAAGACAGTTTGTATGCTGTGTGGTTACTCGTCTTTATCAAAAAATAATTTAAATTTTTAAATATTATATTTAGTTTAATCTGATTTATAATAAATAATTTCAGCTGCAATTAGATTTGCATTCTGTACATCAGCAAACATTGGCAGATGCAGATCTCACAAGTCACAACGGCTTAGAATCGGCGATTGCTGCAGGAAAAGCTCTGCAAAATGCAATGAACAGTGAAATACATCCTGCACTACTCAGGTAAATGTTTTTTGAAATATAAGGTTTCTTTAAAATGTATGCAATTGTAACTATATTTTGTTCAGGCTGGCTGCAGTTCAAGAACAAAGAAAACGATTTGAAAAATATAAAGTAAAATTTTCTCAGAGCATAAGCAGGCACTTAAATAATCTTTTCATACATTTAGGTAATGAATTGACAAGTATATATTTTAATTTGGTTCTTGCATGTAGTTTAAATTACGGCATGTTTAGTATTTTAAAGATAAGTCTCACATATTTTTTAGTTAAATCTGTTTTAGGTTTTGGGATTATGGTTTGATCATGATGATTAAATGTAAATTGTTACTAATTAAGTCAAAAGTTATTTTGATAAGCTAGTAAGATTTCAAGTTATTTTGGCAACAAAATGTAATTTTGTTGATAGTAGCGTGACTATTTGGTATTCTATTTAAACAAGTCATGAGATTGTTATATTAACGTGCATATAATCTTTGAGTATCATTTTTAAACAAGTGCAAGAACCTGATGTAAAAAAATAATTTCATTTGTATTTTTGAATATTGTAAGTTTAATTTTAGGAAATGATATTGGAGAAAATTCAGGCGAGGGAACCTTACCTAAGCATAAGTCTGTACATAAAGAACTCATGCAGTATGCTGAGTTAATGCATTGGAGTAAAGTGATGGATAAAAAGGCATATGTAGCTTTAACTAAAGTATATATTAGCTCACTCAGCAAATGGTATGACCGGGATATAAAGCATTTCTTTGAACAAGCAAAACAGAACATTATGAGTTGCAAAGACAAGAAAGGTGCGCTTATATTTGTATTTCATTGTTGTAATTATTGAAAAATCCAGGATTTTTTTTTAATTTAGGAAAAGGTGGTTCAAAAGAAGATCTAAATTCATCAATGTCAACTAAACTTAAATTGCAACAGTCTTCAAAACAAACTCAAGTGCCTTATGGATTGTTAGGTGTTGATAGAGAGCAATGGTCCAGTAATGTTGATAGTTATGAAAGACAGAAATATGACACAGTTTTAGAATCAGTATTGGCAGAACTTGAACCAGTTTGTCTCAGTGAGCAGCAATTTTGTGTCTCATTTTTTCAATTAGATATAATTAGCCCTTCTTCGAAAAATACGCAGACTACATTGGACCAAGAGTTTGCAGAAACTAGTCATGATGTGGGAGATGGCAAATTGAGTTCATCAAATTTAATACCCAGAAAAACTATTGATCGTCAGATTAATGAAGATGTTAGAAAAATGATGGGCGAATTATTTATGTGTTTGGAGCCAGAGCTAGTGAGTTTCTTATCATGTTATGAGAAGAATGATAGCTTGTAAGTATTTAATCAATTAACTTTGAATTTAACATTATAATTTATTGAGCCCAACCTCAAGAATGTTTTTACTTATCAAGATCTATACAGTAGAGGGTGCTAAAACATCTATTTGCTTTACCAAAAATTATAGGCTATCCAATGTTTATGGATTTTTCTGGTTTCTCACCAGAAAATTACTTATTAGTGTCAGATTTTCTTTCTTTTTCTTTTTTTTTTTTTTAAAGATGATGGTTTGTGATATTTCTAAAAATGTATGATCTAGTGTATGAGCTAGTGGAAGTACAACAAAATGACATTCATTTTGCTTCTTATTGATTTATTTAATGATAAAATAATTAGTTTCAATTATTTCTATTCATCTTAGATGTATTGACTACCCATAGTCTATCCATAGTCTTTTAATTAATTTAGAACTATAATAACATATTTATTAAGGAAAAATGCAACTAATTACAAAAACCATTATCCATATAATACACATAAAATGACATATAAGGTAAGGACATACTAAGGTATAAACTTTTAAGAAGACAGTTCACAAATAAATTGTTTGGTTCTTTTCGGGACATTAGCACATAATACATGAGCGTAAAGGACAATTGATACATCATAGCCAATCTTCATAAGATTCAGGACAAAAAAAGAGATCTTTGATGAATGAGCGTCTTTCTTTTTACTGGTAAATCCTTAATTTTTTTATTTTTTGACCTCGAATGAACCCCACTGTAGTTCAAAGTATTATATCATTTTGTGCCAATGTATGTCATCTTATTCGAAAGTTTGCATTAAAATTGATTAAAATTCAGTATAAGTACTGGCATACCAACCAATTACTGAGACTAGACTGTGTCAATGATGCTCAACATGTGACAGAATTCTGATAATAGCTTTCTTTATGTTATACAGTCGCATAAATGTTATTAAAACTAGCCAATTTTTTTAATAAGGCTCTGTTTCATTTTGTCCGCATATTTTTTTACCTACTTGATGTGTAGTCTTAAAACTTCCAGTTTTCTCATATTCAGATTTCGGTATTTTTCATGGGACATTATTATCAATCACCTTTTTAATTTTACAGATTTGATTTTGTTTGTTTCAGTTCTAGTCTTTATGTGCTGGTGAGATTGGGCCAGCATGTGATGTCTGCTCAAGACACTGGTTCTTTTCTTAGCATGACATTTGCTTCTGCTCTTGTGCAAGTTAAGAGAAGTTTTGATAGATTTATGCAGTCTCAATTAAAATCCATAGAAGATACAAAAGTTAGTATTAGTACCGCATCAGAGACAATTGAATAAGTAAATAAATTAATAATAAGTATGTGTGTACAAATTTTTAACTTTTGTGATCATTACACAGGTAAACAAGAAAACAAAATGTGGATTATTACCATATGTAGAAAATTTTGAGGAATTTGCTGTTACAGCTGAATCGATTTTTCGAGAATCCGATAGAAGAGCAGATTTAGATAAATGGTATACAAAACTTATTAAAGCAATGTTTGAGGGAATATCCATACATGCAATGGAACATTCAAAGACTCCTCATCAAGTTGTAAAAATGGGTACATTTTTGTAAATTGGGTGAAAGAAAAGATTCTGAGCATTTATGTTTTTATAATAACTATAATAATTATTCATCTAATTGCAGATTTGTCGTGATCATTATTTTATAAATTTTTTATTCGAATATATTTCACTATATCCTCATTTGGTTACATAATAAGTATATAAAATTTTCCGGGTAGTGGCTATAAAATGCCTGGTAAATTTTTTATTTTTATGAGTATGGATCATTTAGTGTGGCAAAGTATCTTGACTTATTATGTTCATGTTTACAGATTTATCTTATAATAATAACTCAGCTCAGAATTTTGCATTTTGCCTTTTATATATTTTGTGCCTGTGACTGATTAACTGATTACCAATTACATTTCAGAAAACTTCCATCATCTTTACTCCTTGTTGTCTCAATTAAAAATATCAGTGTTGGATGGTCTTCGGAAAGAAGCTAAAATTCGGTATAATGATGCACTTAAAGGATATGTGACAAAATATTTCGGTCGACCACTGGAAAAGCTCAATGTAATTTATATTAACTTAAATTTGATTACCGGGATTAGTTCTATTTATCTATTCAAAGTTTTTTTTAGTTTTTCTTTGATGGTGTGCAAGCAAAAGTTGCTCAAGGTGTAAAGGAAACTGAAATCAGTTACCAAATGGCATTCTCCAAACAAGAATTACGCAAAGTTATTAGCCAATATCCTGCTAAAGAAGTTAAGAAAGGTTTAGAAAGCCTTTATAAAACTGTTGAACGTCATCTTTGCGAAGAAGAAAATTTGTTGCAGGTAGTGTGGAGGGCTATGCAAGAAGAATTCATTATTCAGTATAAGTATTTAGAAGAGTACATACAACGTTGTTACCCAGGATCTGTAATGGCTTTAGATTTTTCGATTACTGATATTCTTAGCTTTTTTTCTGAAATAGCAATATCACATTAATATTATAAATATTAATGATTGTTATATAATTTTTATATGATAGCTCATTTATATGAAATGATTGAACTTATTGAACTATTTAAAGTATTGTTTGTATGCATAATACATCTCCTGCGGTTTCCCATTATACCGGGTATTCCAGAACTCAATGTCAAACCGAAATGCTGTAATAGTATTGATCATTACCTTTTTTTTTTACAGGATGGCCTTTCAAAGTCGATCAATTTTGAACATTTTAAATTCATAGTTTAACAAAAACTGTTAATTCTTGAAAACTTGGGGCAATTGTCATTCTTTTCAACTGTGGTCCTAGGATTGTTATTTAGGATTACAGATTCAAACTTAAATGAACAAATTAATAAAAAAAAAACACAATACACGAACGATAGTCACGGTTTCACCAATGCTCTAGTTTGCATTTAAAAGATAATAATTTTCAAATCATGCAAGATATATATTTTTTTAAAAAAATTTCATGATAGTTATGACCAATACTATTACCTTGTTTTGACTTGACATTGAGTTCTTGAACACCCCTGTATAGGGAGGTCAAAAGTTATATAGAAAATATGCTTAAATGATAAAAACTACATATTATCATAATAAATATATTTATTTTATAAATAATCTTTTAGTTCTATTATATAAAATCACTAGAAGGACTTCTTATTTGTTTGTGGCAGAATAGAATCCTTCACTTTGTTAAAAAATGTAAGCAAGCCAGGTTTTTGTCCATTGCGTGAGAAATAGTGAGAGACCACATCATTGTCATCTATAAAAAAAAATGAATTTATTTATTTCAATTTAGAAAAGAAATACAATAATATAATATACATACGTAATAATGAAGAGCTTTCTTTGACTGTGGGAAGTACATTATCATTCGCTGATAACGATACAAACAATGCAAATGGCACAAGCCAAAGGCATAATATAAAGTAGGCCACAACCTGATAAGATAAAGATGATAAATAGTACTAAATCAATATAATTAATTACTCAATAGGATCATATTTACATAATGAAATTTTACACCATAATAAAACTATAATGTAATATTTTCTTAACTGAATAATCTCTAATAAAAGCTTTTTCATTGTTATTGTAAATGAGCGATAATGATCAAAAACAAATATTTAAGTTACAAATGCATAATACATGCAAGTAAAACTGTGGTAAATTATGAATCAGTCCAAGTTTGTCAAAAAGTTGTCAAAGATACTGATACAAAGTTATTCTAGAAATTTGCATAATTTAATTACATTTTATTTACAATTTTACCCTATTTATCTCTGAGAGAAAAAATAGTTGCAAATGCAAGTTCAAAAATTATGCTCATATTTTAATTTTTGCCGATCAATGAAAGTGAAAATCTAAAATGAATATATATAATATATATACCTGCATACATATATTATTTGCAATGTAATCTTAATTGTAATACCTGTGAAAATGGATGGTAAGTGCTAGCAAAAAATGTGAATGCTAGGTAATGATTAACTACAAGAAGAATCACAGCGGCTATGAATGAAGCAGAAGACAATCGTACTGAAGGAAAAGTTTGTAATATTGAATAATGTGATATTTGAGCTGCTAGGCCACACATTATTAAAATCCAACTGAACGATTCAAAGAATATAAATCCAATATATATTAACACAGACGTTGATATCATAATGTAAATTGCTTGCTTGGCTAGAACTGTATGCTCTTCGACTAATTCTGCAAGGTAATATAATCCGGCAGCTGTAAAAGATAAATAAAAAAATAAGCTACCATGAAACAACTTAATGCAAAACAATTGAGTAAATTTTTCGATCTTTTGAAATATTTACATCTAGTGTAATTTAAATAAAATGTATGTATAACAATATTGAACAAAATGAAGTTTACATTTGAAATTCATAAATTAATAAAATACTGAAAATTTTGAATTGCACAGAATGAATAAATTGAATATCTCTCATTATTAAATTTACTTAATGCTTTACATTAATAAAATTTATAGAATTAATTAAAAGATCCTATTAATTTAAAGATTTCTCTATTTTCTTCACAAAAAATGAAAGTATCTCATATAAAAGCTGTCATCCAATACTGATTAGTCTCTGATATTTCAGAGTATAAAAATATATATAGAGAGATTTAATTAAATGAGTAAGTATTGGAAAATAAAATTTCTTAGAATGTTGAGAAAAACACACGATACTGAATATTATTCTTTTTCATCATATATTTGTATTATATGAATGCATACATATTATATGAATGCCAAAAGTTCTAATAAATTATCTAAAATATAAATGTTCTGTAAACAATGAATTATTTTTGTCTGTTTCCTTTTCACATTGATCAATATGAGTTATAATTTGCAAGAGGTTCAACAGCACCAAGTAATTAATATTCTGTAAATAAAAATAAATACATAACTATTTGGAGATTTGTATATGCTTATGCGCATGAAAAAATTGTGTAATGTTAATATTTAACTAATTGTGGATTATTAAATAACCTATACTATACACATTGTTCAAGTTTTGCAGTAAAGGAATAAGTCAACTTTATGCGCCTGGACCCTTTCTTGAGTGAAATAATATTCTTATTTCAAAAACATAATACTTGCAATTGGCTTTCAAAATCAACTTTAACTTACCAAGAGATATAGTTATAAAAACAATCTGTATTAATAAAGACAAATAACTAAGCAAATGTAGAAACCACATATTTTCATATAAATTAATTAAATGTACACTCTAAATAATCAAGTTGTCATAATTAATAAGTAAAATACTCCTATTATTATATTAATAACCATAAAAATATATTATGTCTTTCATCACAGATAACTTTGTTTTATTTTCATCTTTCGGAACATCCAACTTGGATTTTACTATTGTTGAGGCGCATCTACACAGGCGCTAAATTGTCAAATGTTTTGACATGTGTGGTCAAAGTCATAGGTCAAGGTGTTTTGTTTTCATTGAATATGCAGCTTAAGGAAACCAAGTGTTTTTAAATATATAATCTTGTAGATAAAAGTAAAATATGTATAAATATTGTAGCATATAATAAGAAGGGCATCTAGTATGATAATTTGTCATTATTCCAAGATAAATTTAGTCAAATATAAATATAAAAGAGGTTAAATATAGTACAAAAAACAACAGGGTAAATAAAAATGGAATAAAAACGATAGTGCATCTGGTGTGGGTACTCCACATGTTTAAGGGTCGATGAGATTTAAATAAAAATCGTAGCGAGTAGCACTCATTATTGAATATATTATATTCTAATATTAATATTAGAAATGTCTAGGGTAGCCCTTATGCTATCAGGATCTATACTATTAAGGTGCTAGCTCCCTTTCACAGTGAATAATAATAATGATATGTAATATTATTATATAATATGTTATAATTTTCCAATTGTAATGTGTTTTTATAAAGTTATCAATCCTTTCCATAAAGAGAATTTTGGTTACTCTTTCTTGATTGATGTAGGGGCTTTGGCAAGAACTTAAGCTTAAATGCGGGCACGCAAGAATTTGTTCTTGAGAAATATTAATTTCACCTGCATATATAAATTCAAAGATGGCTTGTAGATAACATATGATCTATTAAAAATATTATTTGATGATTATTAAAATTATTATTATATGAAACAAACTATTAAAATAATTAACAATTTACACGCTTTGCAAGTTTGTTTAGAAATTAATTTGTTTTAAGAAAAATTGTTAGTCGCCCGTTATATCAGTTTGTACATACAACAAAGAATATTGCAAAGTATCCAGTTCCTCTTAATAACAAAAGATACGAGGGAATGCTGATATTGTTTGAATTTAAAATTAATTGCATAGATAAAAAAAGAGTATGAAAAATTAATTTCTCGTTAACCCGTTATATTGAGCGCTGACCAATGATGAAGAAACAAAAATATTTTTTAAAACCATTAAATGTTATAAATTTGATGAAATTACAATTGAATTATATTATAATATTAATAAGTGATTAAAAAGATGGTCGTAACTTACTCATTTAATTTATGTAAAGATCCTAAAATAATTGTAGAATTTAATATTATTTATTGAGCTTTGATGTTAATTATATTTAATTAACTTACCGTAGGGCAAGTTATAGTAATCGCCAAAAAATCGAAAATAAAAATTTTTATATATCTTTACGTTACAAAACTTTTTGAACATTTTGGCATACCTTAGAAAAAATGGATGTATGTGTGTGTGTGTGTATGTGTATGTGTGTGTGCGTGTATGTGTGTGTGCGTGTATGTGTGTGTGTGCGGATACAAATTTTCGTCGACGATTTCGTTAACACGGATGAAGCGATTTGAATAATTCAAAAAACATTCGATTTATATATAAGGAGACGTGTTGATTAGTTTTTGGCAAAGACAGGTCTAGCCTTTCCGAAAATATAGGGCAAAATTGCCAAAAACGGTAACTTAGTTTTTAAGGGAACGGAGCGTCCGATTTGAATAATTCAAAAAACATTTTATTTGTATTAACAGGATGAAGAACTGATCGAATTTTCATGAAGGCAAGTCTAGCGGTTTCGGAGATCTAGTAAAAAAAGTAAAAAAAAATGCCATTTGGCGGTCAAAAATGATCATTAAACATATGCACATCAAATTATCCGATTTTTTATAGAGATTTTAACAATAATATAAATTTTGGGTTCCATACCAATGTTTATCCGTTAGACGGCGACGCCTCGCTTACGCGCTTCGATATTTTGTCTCTACGCAGTTAAGGCACGATGCCATGCGCCCCACTAGTTATTTTTTATATTAATAAGTGCTGTTTTTATTATTATATTATATTTCATTTAGTTTTGTTAACAAGAGGTTTGCTTCCTTTCATCTTCCTTTATATTTTATGATTGACTGCAGTATTTACTTGGCGCGTGTAGACGCACCCTTATTGCGTTGTTGACACAATTGACAGCGAGCGGTAATTAAACGCAACCGAACCTCAATCTGTCAACTCTTTACGCACTAAATTAAATGGTCTTTCGCTTCACCGTCTAATTAATTGTTTTTACAAAAATATTTAACTAGCAATAAAATATATTTTCCCTTAGTAATGTAGATCAGTTTGTAAAATAACATAATTAACGACAAGATTAATAATCGGTGGTGTATTCGGTTGTTGATCGATTTATTAAGAATTCTAGTCATGAATTCTGTTGAGAGGAATCAAGTTGAAATATATGACTAAAAGCTTTTATGAAGTTAGTAATTACTTATAGTATTGTAAATTAGTTTATTAATTATATTAGTGTATGTATAACGTTGCGATTTCTGTATGTTTATGAACCGTGCATATATGCAGTGAAATCTGCATTACTCGGACTTCGAGACGTGATTTTTTTTATTACTTCTAGTGACAATTCAACATCTGAAAATGTGCCAGACACCAACTTTTGTTATTTTGGACAGTTTTATGAATATTTGGTTCAGTTGTACAAGCTTTAATTTCCTTAATAGAGGCAATGGATGTACAATTTTGTTTACTTGCAACAGTTCTGTTTGAATATTTAATTAATAGCAGTGAGCATAGATATCCATCTAGTGTTATTATTAATTATTATTAATTATTCTAATCATATAAGGTATTGAGGTTTTAAGTGCTAAGTAATAGACATAATCTACAAAAACCAGCTATCAAATTAGGTTCAACCGAAACCAGTTACAGAATATGAAAGTGGTATGCAAAAGTGTTGGACTTAACCAGATTTTGCTACATAAAGTTTGGTTGTAACAACTTGGAACATGCCCATTATTTTAGTTTTACTAATCGGAAGTCAATTAATCTAATATTAAACCGTACTAACCTAATATTAGGTATATTAAATCTGAGCCGAGTTTATATTATTGCCACTAGTAAAGTAGTAAAGTGCCAACTCGAAAATGTTCTAATTCGAATAAAAGGAAAACATGATTTGCATGAAAAGAAAAAAGCCCTATTGATGTATTTATTTAGTAATTGTGATAAAAAGTGTGTTCAATAGACTCAACAAAGTAAAAGTTGCAAACATAAATTATTATCAAATAAAATATGTTACATTGTTTATTAAGAAGGGTTTTTTATCATAAAGATTGCAAATATTTCTTTACTAGTTTTCTCATTCACATCACTAATATCTCCTTTTATTTTTTGATATTTTATTTTAAAAATTTAAGATAATAATTATTACTTCACCAGACTAACTTTGTGATATACTGCAATGGATATATCGAGTAGCAAAAATGTAGCTGGCACAAGGCATCAACTCACTGGAGTTTTATATAAATATACTAATGTAATGAAAGGTAATAATTTATTTGAATATACACACATATATACAAACATATATATATATATATATATATATATATATATATATATATATATATATATATATATATATATCTGTTTTCTAACAAAAAAGCTTTTTGTTTTTTTTTTTTCATTCTAAAGATGAGATTTATATATTCTATATGTTCATACATTTGTATCATGTATATACATATGCCATATGTATTGCATAATATTAACTTTTTGAGTATCAAATGCCTCAGATATCACTTTCATATTAAATATTATTGAAACATCTGTTTTGTCATTTTAATGTAAAATAGTTATTGTGGTAGTAATTTAATATAATTGTGTTTAAAATCACTATCCCTATTATTAATGATAAAACAATATTTATTATCGAGTTTGCAGTTTTTGACAAATTGACAAATCAAATGAACAAAATTTTTGTACAGGATGGCAGCATCGATGGTTCTCAGTGGATCCACAATCGGGTACATTTAGTTATTATTTGTGTGAAGCTGGTCCTGGAGATGTTATGAGTCCGCTTGGTTCAGTGCCGAGAGCTGAGGTACGTTAATAATTATAATCGTATAAGTTTGTTCTAAAAATATCGATTGCAAAATGTATTGATTAGGTTTTAGTGAAAACTTAATTTTCGAAATAAAGAGTTATTTATGTTCTTGGTTAAGGTAACTTTTGGAGCGTATCGAGATGTTTATGTAATTTGCTTTAGGACAAAATTCCACTTACATTTAGTTCAACTTATTGTTAGTGAAAGACACAAATCTGCTTTTTACGCACAAAATAATTCAAAAACTTTTTATTTATATACATACTTAGGGAAACCAGATATTAACTGTCTAAGATATTTGTTTTGTCTTGAGGTGACGTGTTCAATCGCTGCTTTTGAATATTTTCCAAAAAAAGTGATTTTAGTTTTTCCACCAAATCTCCGTTTTTCGCAAAACCACGATGTTTCACTTCCTTTTCGCCTGTTAATACAATATTATATTATATATGACGTGAATACAAAAAAAGTAAATTAGTTGGCACCGAAAATAGTTTTTTTATTGGCTACGACAAGCTCTACGACGCATGGGTAAAGGGAAAAAGCAGGCGCTGGAAGATGGGACCAGAAAAAAAGCTGGAAACATGGGTTCTCTCTTTATTCGGTATATTAAATGAAAAAAATTGAAGAGAGTTGGCGGTCCTCATATTATGCATACTCGATGCCCTATGGTGCCTGGACTATAAGGATTTCTTCTGAATCTGTACACACTTTCATTTTTGAAGGTTCAGTTTAATGTGTATAATCACTTCTTATTCGTCTAATGGCGCCGCCAATTAACGTCACTTTTGTCATTATTCCCATGAACAAGAGGTAAAGATGTAGTTATTGCAAAAAAACTCATCTTTACTAGAAGTATGTTACACAATTTTTATGTATTTTCATTTCCAAACATTTGCTGTATTTTTCAGGTTTCCTGTATTTTTTCATCTCGCGCAAGTCGTCAATCATTTTCGCGTAAGTCGTCACATTCTTCTTCTTCCCAATCCTTTCAGTCCTTCTACTTCCTTGCAGAACGGGTACGATCCAGTTTCCTTTTCAGGATTGTGCTCAGTAGAGCCCTTTCTTCGCCTACTCTTCTCAGAACTTTTTCATTTGTTATCTTGTCTGGTAGTTCTTGTTGGCCTTTCTTAGTCTATTTTTTGATCCGTACAGAGCTATGTTCCAGGCATAACACTTTATTAGTCTCTTTCCCAAGTCGAGACTTAGTTTTCTCGGCAGAAGCGTTCTCTTTTTCTTAAATGCCGCCTTGGCGCTTGCGATCTTTGTCCTGATCTCTCTCGTGTAGTATCATCCGTTCCTGGTCAGGAAGCTTCCCAAGTATTTGAAATGATCCATGTCTTCCAATTCTCGTTTTCCTCGCTGATATTTATTGTAACCAACTTCAAACTGCTATCATTTTGCAAACCGCTCGTTACACAGCTGACAGATTTATTCCAGTGATAGTTCATTTTGTTGTTTACAAACGTACAGAAGCATTTTGATCTATTGATTTCAGAAAAAAGTTGCTTTATATTTGGCTAGAAAACCCCAAGTGACTATCGTTATCGCCCTCCAGCATTTGAATGCGAATAAATTTTTTGTTTCTCATACCATATCTCAACCATGATACTGTTAGCGTTGCACCGCGTCCAAAAAGTGGACAAAAAAACGGTAACAACACCAGGTCTGATGTAATTTTTAGCGGAGCTCCGAATCTCGTTATCCAGTTTGAAAAGAATTCTCTTGCCACTGTAGCCGCTTCCTGATTTTCTATAGGGATTGCTTCAGGCCAACGTGTAAAACTATCTACACATGTTAGGCAATAACGAAATCCATCTGATAACGATATAATCACGATGTCGACATGTACATGCTTGAATCGCGCTCCTGGCAATGTAAATACTCCAGGACGTGTGACAATTAGTGTTAGAAGTATCGAGGCAAAAGATCGATATTGAGTACTTTGAAAAGTATCTAATCAAAATATCGATGCCAAAAAAATATCGTGGCGAAAGTATCGATAGTACTCAGTCTTGAATTTTGAGTACTTTTCATAAAAATCAAACATAAGTGCAAGAAAGATCTAAAACTCATTAAATATTATATCACAATATTAGAATGAATTCTATTGCTTGTAATCTGATGTGTTAAATCAGAATCATTTTCAATATTGTAAAATTTTAACAGTAATTTTTCAATACTAATTTCAAATTCTATAATTTTTCAAAAAAAAGACAAGTTATAATAGTTGATTATTTTTTATTAAAAAAATATAATAGTCTGATACTATATTCAAAAAGCAATACTTTTTAAGTATTTTTAAGCACAATCGTATTTTTAATATTTTTCAGTGCAAACAATTGCCACAAGAACCAAATTCATTTATTATTTTCTAAAAGTTTTTTGCCCACTATACTAAAGAAAGTATTCTTTAGTTTTGTTGTCATTCATTCAGAAAAGGTCAGTTGAAATCCGATTCCTAAAATATGTTCATAATGTGCACAAACTGAAAACGAAACATTTTAAGATTCACGTACCACAAAGAAAATATTGCTCTTCTGTTCTTTTTTAAATTGTTTATTTAATTTTTAATTTACAAGTACTTTACTTCAACTTACAATTCACATACTTTTAGAAAGAAAAATAATAACGCATTGAAATCGATGAGTATTATTATTTGAAATAATAATATTTCGATTCTTTTTTACGCAAAATACTAATCTATTGAAATTGATGAATATTATTATTTGAAATAATTATATTTCGATTCTTTTTTACGCAAAATACTATTATATTGAAATTGATGAATATTATTATTTGAAATAATTATATTTCGTTTCTTTTTTACGCAAAATACTATTATATTGAAATTGATGAATATTATTATTTGAAATAATTATATTTCGATTCTTTTTTACGCAAAATACTATTATATTGAAATTGATGAATATTGTTATTTGAAATAATTATATTTCGATTCTTTTTTACGCAAAATACTAATATATTGAAATTGATGAATATTATTATTTGAAATAATCATACTTCGATTGTTGAATATGTTTTTATAAAACATTTTGGTACTTTAAAAAGGCGTTTCATTTTACAAAAGAGTAATAAATAAACATCTTTAGTTATTAGTGTGGTCATATCCATTTTGGGTTTTTGAGCAATAAATTCTGAGACTAATGACCCTTCGGGATCATATTTTGACACTTCTCTGAACAATTATGACCACCTAGAGAGACTATTGCTTTGCATTCGGCAAAATGGTTGGTTTTCATAGTTGGTCGATAAGCGGGGTTCATAGGTTACGCTGTCGATTCTTTTTGAGTACTATCGACGTAAAAGATCGATATTGGCAAATATATCGAGCTAAAAAATCGATACCAAAAGTACTCACTATCGACCGCGAAGTATCGATATTTACTCAGTACTCGATATTTCGTTCTAACACTAGTGACAATATGTCGACTAATTTTTGAGCGCTGACAATCTAGACAGCCACTGTCGGCGTTCTCACTGTCGGCAATCTTTTTTAATGGAAGGCCATACATAATGTTGTGTTATCAATCTAATTGTAGCATTCGCTCCACAATGCGGCAAACCATGTAAGCTATTGAATATAGCACGGCAAAATTTTTTTGGTATTACCGGCCGAATAATTGATCAAGATACATCGCACAATAGCGATGTTCCCAATTCGTCTATAAATATTCTTAACTTAAGAGAATGGTCGGAATGTAATAATAGTTGTGCCACGTTATCATTATGTTGTTCACCTGCAATCGCCTTAAAATCTAGATCACATTCGTTAATTATCTCGATACGGGATAATGCATCTGCTACGACGTTATCTTGACCCGATATACTCGTATGTCTGATCTCAGTCGAAAATTGATTAACAAAATCAAGGTAGCGGAACTGTCTCGGCGTACACTGGCTATCTTTTTTTTTAAACGCGTAAGTGATAGGTTTATGTCACGAATTCTTCTCCCTTTACCATGTGTCTAAAAAAATTTACGGCATTGTAAATTGTGAGTTGTTCTCTGTCGTATGTCGAATATTTTCTTTCTGTTGCATTCAATTTTCTTGAGAATAAACCTAATGGGCTAACGGTGCGTTTAAACGCGGGTGCATCAATAAAGTTGCTTCCGCAAAACTTTTTTTACACTTTTCAAACGCTTTCTCCATATTTGAGTCCCAGTTCAGTATTCTTCTTCATATTACTACGCAACTTGTTGTTTAACGGCACTTGTACTTCTGCAGCTTTCGGAGTGAATCGTCGGTAAAAATTCAACATGCCTAAAAATTGGCGCAACAGTTGAACTGTCCTAGGCTTTGCATAATTTTGTATAGCCAGTATCTTGTCTGCTGGAGGTTTAGTTCTGTTGGTTGAGACTTCATATACTAAAAACTTTACTTTTGGTTTTCCAAAGACACATTTTGATGGATTGACCACTACGCCGAATTCTTGCAGCTTCTTAAATACAATATGTAATTGTTGTATATGTTGATCGTACGATTCCGATTCGACCAATATATATCATCCACGTATGCATAAGAGCAGTCCAAACCTCGCAATATTTTATTCATGAACCGCTGAAAAGTTGCGCTGCATTGCGCAAACCAAATGTCATAAACGGAAATTCGAATAGTCCGAAGGGCTAGTGATTGCAGTCTTCGCGATGTCTTTTTCAGCTACAGGGATTTGATTGTAAGCTTTCACTACATCGATAGTAGAAAATATTATCTTACCACATAATGCTTGCACAAAATCATGGATATGGCAAACTGGGTACCTATCTGCTTGAGTCCGTCCATTTAATCTGCGATAGTCTCCACAAGGTCGCCACCTAGAACCTTTTCGTACCATATGTAAAGGCGATGACCAACAGCTCTTACACGGTCGGCTGCCCCTGCTTTAATCATCGAAGTCATATTTAGCAGCTTTTAACTTATCTGGTGATGGCGATGGTGAAGGCGATGTGGTTTATGTGCTATTGGTGGTCCCGATGTAG